ATTCAAAATCAAATTTTCCTCCTTAACTAATTTCTAAAAATTACCTTTCAAAAAAAATTTCTTTAAACATAAAAAAATATATTTAGATCAGCGTCTCACTCAGGCCTTGTCTCCTTTCCACTGCACAGAGAGGAAGCAAAGAAACGCCAGTCACGCAAAACACTTTCAGCCAGAGATGAAAGAGCAGAGGAAAGCAGACTCGCGTACGAGAGACGAACGAGCAGAACACAGCAGAGCAAGAAGAGGGAACACACAAGCAGCCTTCTAGTCTTCTAATCCCTCATGCAAGCCTCGGAAGAGGGATTCACTACGCAGAGGTAAAGGGAGGGGAAGTTGGAAATAAAGGAGAAAAAATCGAGAGCTAGGTTTGAGAGACTGAAGTCTAAGGGGTGGAGACCAAAGATTTGAGGGAGATTTTTGAAGATTGTTGAAAGAGAGAAAGAAGAGAGCAGAGTTCGACGGGAGAGGCAAAGTCAAAGAGAGGGAACCGAGAGGGGGTGAGAGAGAGAGAGATTGAGGGAGATTTCTAGGGAGGGAAAGAGATCTAAAGAGAGAACAAAGAATGAGAGTAGAGGATGTTGAGCGATTGAGGCATTCAAAAGGAGAAGCGATTAGAGATTAAGAGCTAGTGGGGAGCGATTCAGAATTCACAGAAGCAAAGCACGACGCAGCTGAAGAGGTAGACCGGAAGACACTTATCTCTGTTGAAAGGTTTGAAGCTAATTTTGAGCTTTGATTTAATGTAAATTTTGATTTCTAGATAGCATCCATCTTGTACTATTAGACTTTGGATTAATTTTAAGACGCATAAAATGAACCATAGACATATGGTTTAGCAGAAAATTTTTTTCTTTCTTCACCCATGAGAACGATGTCTACCTTAGCAACACCATGAAATTTTTGTTAGCTGAGGGTGTGAATTGATCTGGATGGATATTTGGGTATTAAGGATTCAAGAGAAGCTTGTTTTTGTATAGATCTGTTAGCACACCTATAAGGTGTATGACAAATGCCTATGAGAAAAATGTTGTTGATTGATAAGAGGAATTTTTGGATTTTCCTAGTCATTTTTTTGGCTAAAAAATGATGAAATCGTTTGATTGGATTTAGTCTTGGCTTATTCCCGTTATAAGTGTGATCATTGGTTGATTAAGAGTTGTGTAATTAATCATGTTCATTAAATTTTTAATATATATTGAATGTCCTTGATGTTTGATTAATTCTATAACCTAAATTGTGAAGAACATGTGATGATTGTTGTTAAAAGGGGGGATGCTAAATAAAATTTATGCTTGCTATTCGATTTGACTTCATCTAATTTAAACGCATATTCCCATCCTGGTTTTCTCTTAAATAAAGTTGCTGATATTGTTTGATAGTACTTGATTTGAGTCTTGGTTAAAATGCCTATTATCAGTATGATTGTGGTTCTCCATGTAATCCAGGTCAAGTTGCTATAGTTAATCATTTTCAGCAAGCCTTTAACATGTAATACATGTAGGTGGAAACTCCAAATGAAAATCTGACTTGCTATCCTAAATGTTTGATCGAATTTGGGCATTAGACTATCACGTTTTTGACTCTAAAACAAGTAAGAAATTGCTGTATTTGTTCTTCAAAGAAAAGAGATTTCAAATATTGCCTGCTGTACTAATTAGTTCGAACTCATTGTTGGCATATTCCTATCATGTTTTGGCCAAGGACAGTGAAGAAATTGATGTGGTAGTTGTTTAAGAAAAAGAGAGACTTACAATAACTGTTTTTTGTTTGTGGCAATAATTTGTTGGAACTGATTTTTGGATATATTTCTGCCATAGTTTTGTCTTAAATAGGGAAGGAAGTTGTTGTGATTGTTAGACTAGGTGTTGAATTGGATTTAAAAGAAATTCTCTTAGCATGAAAGAGCATACTAATATATAGGGGTATGGTTTTCATCTGTGTATTAGCCCAAGGGTCCTTTATTTATCCATAATATTATTATACTCATATATACCTTATGGTACTTTCTATTATGATTGTGTGCACGATTCCAATTATTATGACGAGCTTGAGGGGAGAGAGTTTGATTCGTATTACAATTGAAATCCAATTAAAAAAAGAAAATGAAATGAATAAGAGAATTTCTTTTTAATTATTTACATGCTGTGTGAGATTTTAAGAATTTTTCAAGCATTTAAAATGATTTCATATCATATAAATCAATAGAATTTCACAAGATATGGGAATCCAAATTATTCATATTAATATGGGTTTCAATGGGCCATCATTAAAATTAAATTTTCTTTTTTTATAATTTAAATTAATAAAATATTTAAATCTCGTGCGAGATTTCAAGAATCTTCACAGAGTCTTAAATTAATTGCATCATCGTGTATGATAATAAGTCTTTACAGATTTCACGATTAATAATTTATATAGTAAATAAATAAATAGATTTTGTAAATAATAATATAATCAACATTTTATTAAAAAATTAGTTAATTAAATTAATAATAACCATTAGATCTTTTAGTCATATTAAATTTTTAAATTTCATAGACCTCTAGGATAATCATATTATCATGAGTCAATAGGACTCTGCAGATATAACAATTAAGTTTTTTTAAAAAAATATTTAAATTACATACATACATAATAAGATATAAGTTAAAATATAAAATATTTTTAAAAAATATTATTTAATCTTTTGAGGATTTTGAATCTCCACAGATATTTAGGATAATCGTATTACCGTATAAGTCAATAAGGCTTTGCTGGTATGATGATTAAGAGTCTTTTAAAAAATATATATGTATGCACATGCTAAAAAATAATTATTAACACTTAAAAATATAAGTAATTAAATTAAGTTGTTAAACTCTTTTATCGTGTGAGATTTTTGAATCATCATAGATATTTAGAATAATTATATTATCGTATGAGCCAATAAAGCTCTGCAGGTATAGCAGTTAAATTTTTAATAATAAAAAATTAAAAAATAATTTAAAACTCTTTTCTTTTCTTTATTTCAAAAATTAAAAATTGAGAAAATAATTGACATTAAATTACTTTTTGTAATTTAAAACATGCATATCAAAATTTCAGAAAATTATTTTATTTGCAAAATGGTGGAATTATTTTTAATTAATTTCTCTTCCAAAAATATTTTTACCAACAAACTTACCCAAACTATATAAACTTTAATCCCTATTGCAGGGTACGTAGGTCTCAGAGTCTGATTCTGAGTCAAGTCCTCCCTTATAAATAAATAAATATTCCTCAGTTAATTATTATCATTTTTTATCAAACATATAAATAAGAAGGGATAATTAAAAGAACTTTAAAACTATGTTAATTTAGTATAATTAACTTTAGGTAACCGTTCTCACCAACGGGTGATGTAGGGTGCCTAACACCTTCCTCATATTTAATAGACTCTCGAACTTATTTTTAATTTTGCAAACCATCCTTTTTTTTCTTTAAATGATTTTTAAAACTTTTCTCAAAATTTTAGTTGCAATTCCTACTCAGCTGGTTTTTGCTCTAAAGGTTGGAAAATTCACTCTCCCATACCGTCCGCGTCACATTCTTGGGTGCAATAATTATGATTAATGCAAGTTTAGTTGAGAACTCGAAATCAATTTCATGAAGCAATTTATATTTGAAGACTTTCCCAACCTCACTGTGTCAGTTTCAGTTTCATTCTAATAATTAAAGCTATGGATTGCTCCGTCTTCTTGCTACTGTTAACAACTTTTTGTTTAATGGAAACCAATTAAGGTATATTTATATATCTTCTCAAACACCACATTTGCTCTCATTTAATTTGACTACTTAAGATTTTTGTTCTAATTTTCTATATATTACCTTTATTTTCTGGTTAATGTATTATCTTTTGGCAGAACTTTGAAGTTTTGATGCTCACAGTATGAATCTGTATTGCGTTTTGCAAGGACAATTACGTCAAGGCATTTTCAAAATGAAAACATGTGTGTTTTTTTTTTTTTAAATATTTCCTTTCAAATTAAGGGATTCTATGAAAGGTTACGTTTATAATTCTAAAAATCAGAAATGTCATGTATCTCTAATTTCTAAAAACATATTTGGAAGATTATAAAATCACAGAAGTGGCAATCACCACTAGGTAAAAGAAAGTATGTATTAACTTAAGAAAACTCTACATGTTAAAATGATATTTTTTATTAAAAAAATTATTTTAAATAACCATTCATTTTAAAATTGAAGCTATGTTGGTCCATGAAATAATGTAGAAAAATGAATTTTTGATTAAAGTGGTATGATATGACATGAAAGAGACATCACTTTAAACAATTTCAAAGTATCACTTCAAACCATATTAAAGATTTTTTATTATATTTTTAAATAATTTTAACATCAACTCAACTTGTATTCAAAAATTAAATAGGTTAGGATGAATATTAAATCAAATTGAAAATGCAACCCACATTTTGATGTCATTTTCAAAAATTATACTCTCTTTAATTCATTATATAAAACATCAATAACTGCTCCAATAAACATCTTTTGAAAAAGAAATAATAAATAAAGTGTGTGTATAGTTGAAGAATTATAAAAGCAATTCAATATCGTATATTTTTTTTACTAATTAATAAGCAAATATTTAAAAAAAAATGTCTCATACTAGAGGGAGAGTAAAAGATAATTAATATTTTAGACAAATTAATGCAAAAATAAAAATTCTGAAATATCAAATAATTGTTCCTTTACAGAAGTAAAAAAGTCAGATTCCCTTTAACTTTAACTTTTAATGAAGAGGAAGAAAAAAAACTCAGCATAGCAGCAACCTTCGTCAATGAATGAGATGAAAGGAAGAACCTTACTTGCCAAGGACAGTCGACGGGAAGTAGATCCGGTGACGGAAATCTCAGATCTGGTGGAGATGGTGGAGATCGAGACGTGACTATAACGTGGAGAAACCACTGCTCAAGAAACTACACTTTCATCTCAGACCTCGGTGCTTCAACGTGGAAATGTTGGCAACCATAGAACGGATTAATCTTTGTAATTGTGAAGTAGAATCAATTTTTCACTATCAGACTGGGATTGAAGCTCAAACTCCAACATTTCAATACCTTAAAGAATTAATTTGAAAAAATGTGCAAGATTGAAATTTGTCTTCTCTACTCATATCTGTCAAGGCCTTCCAGAGTTATCTAATGTATCCATATCTGACTGTGAGGAGTTGGAGGCAATTTTTTTAGGGAATGAAGAGTCTGACAAGAATGCATCCATAACTGAAACTTGTCTGCTAAAATTGAGGAGATTGGAAATCAAAAAGTGCAACAAGCTGAAATTCATTTTATTTTTCATTATCAATCATGCTACTACCTCAATGCTTCCACAACTAAGTACCCTGACTATATCAGATTCTTCTCAGGTGGAAGAAATTTTCAAGTTCTCTAATATTGAAGATCATGACATTGACAGTGAAAGGGAGATTGTGTTCCCAAACTTGAAACATATAACACTTGAGAAGCTTCCAAGACTTGTTAATGTTTGCCAAGGGTTTAAGATGCACCCAGGGGAGTTTATAAGAGTTGACGTCTATGAATGCCCAAAATTTACGTCAATTATGAGAGCAACTATTGATTGGAATGGAAAGGTAACTAACATTCTAAACTTGCGATTCTCAATTTTTCTTTTTCCATGCTGCAAATCTTGCCTTTGTATTGTTTTGCAATATTGATTCAATTGATGTTAGGTGAATATTTAATGCTTCAATTTTTTTAAAAAAAGTTTTGTTATCTTTTAATTTTTGGTTCATTTAAGCTAAATGACCCTGCTTTATTGAATTCATTCCTTTTTCACGCATATGGAGTAGATATCAGCATACATATCAGTTCAAAAACAATCTTGCGTTATTCTTTTTATGTATCTATGCTAAAGCATGTTTTATTTTCTTTTTTGTAATATACTTCGCACACTATTATGTACACACACACACATGCGCGCAACAAGCCAAAAGAACTACGGTTTAGTTTATCAGCTAGTAACTATTTAAGTGACAATCAATGATAGTTCTAACAATAGAAGCTAAACACTAGAAAAATTTGATATACTCAATGCATTACACATTTCCATGATTTAACATGATTGGAGTATAATAAATGACAAATCAAATAAATGACTAAAACAGCTTATATTCCTACATATAGATTTTAGCAACCAAATTAAGGAATTACATCTTACATTCTCTTCACTTTGATTTGTAATAATCACGTAACTGTAGTGAAACATGAAGAAACATTTGATTGAATAAAATAGAGACACAGATGTTAAATGAATACAAATCTGAAGTCTCATCTGGTGTGTGAAGATAATGGTTAACTTGATGTTGTTTAATTTTTCTTATCTTTTCAAGAAACTGAATAAATACTTTTCCCCTTCCTTTTACCTTTGTTATATACAGAGAATTGCAAGGTATTATAAGTTGAGATACGGAGAATTAAATAATAATGAAGCTCCCAATCTTTCACTCTCTGTTATAATTACTAGAAAGCAGCTTGTTATTCAAAGTTCTACTGTTGTTGAAGACACATTTGAAGTCATCGGTGATGATGACCAAGAAGAAATTGAGAACTCAAAATGTTGAGATCTGAACAACAAATGCTAGGAGGTCTTGTTCCCACACAAGTTTGATCTTCCAATATCTACATTCCTTGAAAATGATTCGATGCAAAAAGTTAAAGTTTTTATTCTCAATAAGCACCATTGTCAATAATGACCTTCCAAATCTGAGTTCCCTAATCTTATCTGATTGTGAGGAATTGGAGGTGATTTTTGGACATAGTAATGAACATGATGCCAGCTACAATGACAAAATTGGACTTTCAAACTTGAGGAAGATATGTCTTCATAATTTGCCAATTTTATCAATGTTTGTCAAGGGATGCAGATTCAGGTGCAACTAAGTGACATCAGTATAGAGAAACTGCCCCAAATTTCTTGATTCAAGTTTGGGACCAGCTCTTCAACAATGGAAACAATATCGGTAAGAATGAACGTTACATAATATATTGATTAGAGTCTTAAAAATGAGAATGAATAATATGTAGATTAGAATTATATATCATTCTGCTCGCTACAATTTTATATATAAATTAAATAGGGAATTTATAAGTTTCAAAGAGATGCAAGGACATGAAGAACAAAAACAGCATATACTTGATTGATGTACACAACTAGATTTTATTTAAATTTAGGAGGATTTAGTAACTGGTGAAGGAGAACAAAATTTGTCATTTTATTGAATAATACATGATAAGGAGGTAAAGGAAGCTCTTAAGAAAATGGTAAATGGTAGAGCCAACGGACCTGATTGTATATCTATCGAAGCGTGGAAATGTTTAGGTGAAGAAGGGGTGAGATGGTTAACTAAGTTATTTAATGTGATTTTACGGTCCAAGAAAATGCCTGATGAGTGAAGGAGAAGTACATTAATTTCCTATTTATAAAAATAAAGGAGATATTCAGAATTGTACTAACTATAAAGGGATTAAACTCATGAGCCACATAATGAAATTATGGGAGAAAGTAATTGAGCACAGGTTGAGATTGGAGACAAGTATTTCTGAGAATCAATTTGGTTTTATGCCAGGTAGATCAACTACAGAGGCGATTTATCTACTAAGGGGATTAATGGAAAAGTATCGTTGTAAAGATAAAGATCTACACATGATTTTTATTGATTTGAAAAAAACTTATGACCGTATACCAAGAGAAGTGCTTTGGAAAGCGTTGGAAAAAAAAGGAATATGGATTGCTTATATTAAAGCCATACAAGATATGTATGAGGGGGTAAAAACTAGTATAAGAACACCTAGTGGTCAAACAAAGGATTTTTCTATAAAGATTGGACTACATCAGGGATCATCTCTGAGTCCTTATTTGTTCAACTTGATTTTAAATGTTTTGACGGAACATATTCAAGAGGAAATCTCGAAATGTATGCTTTTCGTGGATAATATATTTCTTATAGCAGAAACAAAAGAAAAGGTTAATTGCAAAACTGAGTTATGGAGGAGGACATTAGAGTCGAAAGGTTTTCGTCTGAGTAGAAGTAAGACAGAATATTTATATTGTAAATTTGGTAAAGGAATATTCGATAATAATTTGGAAGTGAAATTGGGAGATCAAATTATATCTCAAGTGGAAAAGTTTAGATATTTGGGGAGCCATTATTCAAAATAATGGCGAAATCAGTGGAGATATTTCACATAGAATTCAAGCTGGGTGGTTTAATTAGAGAAAAGCTAAAGGAGTTATTTGCGACCGTAAGGTGCTAATAAACTTAAAAGAAAGTTTTATCACACTGCTATCAGACCGGCAATGTTATATAGTAGTGAATGCTGGGCTCTAACAGGACAGCAAGAGCATAAAGTTGGAGTAGCAGAGATGAGAATGTTACGATGGATGTGCAGACATACACGTAAAGATAAAATTCGAAATGAGCACGTACGCGAAAAAGTGAGGGTGGCACCTATTGAGGAAAAAATGGTAGAAAATCGGTTGAGATGGTTTGGGCATGTACAAAGAAGACCAAGGGAGGCACCGGTGAGAAGAGTGGAACATATAACTTTGAGTCCGATTAAGAGAGGTAGAGGAAGGCCTAAGAAAACATTCTTGGAAGTTGTTGAACGCGATCTCTTAATTAATAATATTCCTAAAAGCTTGATAAATGATAGAGCACAATGGCCTCTTGCAATCCATGTAGCCGACCCCACTTAATAGGATAAAGGCTTGTTGTTGTTGTTGTTGTTAGGAGTATGATTAATGAAAATATAGAACATGCGTGACTTCATTCCATGTTCCTTTAATTTTTATTTTCTACAGATATTCTTGTTTTAAAATTTTCATGCACAGTTATTCACAAAATATTTTGATAGAAAGTTATTTTATAGTAAAATAAATTAATTATAAATCGATTTTTTATACCAATTATAAATTGAATTTTGTTTGTCATGTAATCACACATTGATATAAACACATTTGAATATCTGTATAAAGTTTTCTCGATATTCATGAATTTCTGTTTCCAATATATTAGTTTTTCAATTTTTTAAATCCAAGTATAAATAAAATATTTTAGTATTAAGTTTGATTGGTGTGAATAATTTTTTTTTCTTTTGTTAATTGAAGTTGCAGGTCCCCCAAGCTTCTATAGAAAATTCAGATTTCCAGACTGCAACAGATGTAGAAGGACAATTATCTATAAATGAAGAAAAAGGGATGATCTTGACCTCAAGAGTAGAACGTATGTCTCTGAAGGATTCAGGGAGCCTCATGTCTTTATGGGAGGGTCCCATTCTCATCAGCTTCCAAACTCTGAAGGACTTATATGTAAATGGATGCAAGAAATTGAAGTGTATCTTTCCCGGCACTGTCATCAAAAGCCTACCATGTTTGTGGTATGTACATATTGAAGAATGTGAAGAGTTGGAGGAAATAATGTCATCAGAGCCTCTCTTTCCAAATGCCTCCTCTTCTTCCTTATGCTTCCCAAAACTTCAAAGCCTTTATGCAATTAAATGCAGGAAGTTGAAGTGGCTCTTCCCCTCTCTGCCCTCTAGACAATGCTATCAGGTAGAGGGACTTTTCAAATGTGAAGTTGAAATCCAAGAGGAAAAGTGAAATCTCGACAATAACCTACTTCCAGAGCTGCTATATCTTATAGTTGAGGATTGCCCCATGTTCTCTGAAACCACACTCGCTGCTCTTCAAAGCACCACACTCAGGTATGAATATTTTTACTATCCACACTTGCCCATATTTGACAGCATAGGATCTTCTTTGTTTCCTTGATATTTTCTATTTTCTTCTCTCGTGATTTCCTTCTATATTTAAGCACCTTGAAATTTTTGCATTGCATAGCTTACACCTTTTTTTTCCCCTTATTTTGAATTTATTTATACATCATCTCCTCAATCGTTCATCCATTTTCTTTTCAAACAGATGCGGTTGATCTATAAGTTTGGGAGAATGGCACCTAAGGCATCCAAATAACAAAAAAAAAAAAAAAAATTGCACCTAAAGCCAAATACATTATGAATTTATTCTGCAAGCCCAAAGCCTTAGATGTTAATATGTTTTCTAGTAAAATACCTATTTGCCCCTCATTTGAAATGTACAAGTTTCTCAGTATGTACAACATAATGTCTATTTGTAATGTGACAATGTCCATAAATTAACAACACAATATCCATTTTCTTTTTAAAAAGATGTCATTAATTGATATACTTCCTCTGGATCACAATATTTATTATTGTTAACTAATTTATGGTTTACAAAAAATACTTGTTAAAGCCTCATTTTTTAAAAAATATCTACATGTTTCCATTTATTCGCTTGAGTTTTCTAGCCACAACTGCATAATTTTTAAATGTGGAGCATTTAAAGACAAGGAATTTTTTTTTTTTTTAAAAAAAAAGCAAGGGTATAAATGGGGAACAAAATATAAAATTTACCTAATATTTTATATTTTAGATTAAGAAATGCTTCTAGAAAATGACTTATATTATAGTCTCGAGGGAGTATAAGTTTTGGCACTATGAACCGTTGCTAACAGATGCGTTCTGCATATTTTCCTCTGACACTCATTCTTTATTATGGTCAATGTCAATTATAAACTGACTTTGAGACTAATTTTCTCGTATTTTTGTACAGGCCATTACGATTGCAGTGAGGCTTCAGATGATCATGACAATCATTTCTCTTACTATTACAGATGAGGATATGAATGTGATAATGCAATTAGGCCTTGCTATGTATAGGCCTTGTAAGATTGTATTTTGCCTCTGTTTAATGTAATTTAGTATCTGGGGATTGCAATGCGTGATAGCTTTACAACATTCATTTTGACATAAAGATACATTGTATTCATGTTGGAATAACGTTTCTAGGTGAAAATTGAAGGTGACATTCTTATTATCAATGTATTTAATTTAAAACAAAAGTTTAAATATGTTTTTTTTTTGTAAACATGCTTAATTGTTTTTTTCTTAAGTGTCTTCTTTCTTACACATCCAACCAATAGCATAGATTTGGAATTCATTCCTTTTTAATACTCATGAATTACATCGTTATTGGCATCATTATAATTTGTTGATATAATCAACGTTATATAGTAAAAATCACACACACACACACACATATATATATATATATTCATTGACATTATTTCAATTCTTTGAAATAATTTAAATTATGTACATGTATGATTTATTTGAACTGTTATATTTCTTACCAAATTTCTTATGATTACTTTATATGTCAAATATCAAACTATCAATCCTAAGTATTTTAATTGAAAATGCTGATTTCATCTTAATTAGTCATCATCCATGCAACGCATGGTATTTGAATTTAGTTATATGCACACACACTAGAAGGTATTTTCATGTATGTCATTTTTTAAATGCTTTGCTTCATTATGTTCCTGCATAACCAAAATAATACTTCATAAATTTTTAATTAACACCTATTTTTGGCCCAAAAAAAAAAAATTAACACCTATGTGCCTATATATGTCACGTATGTATCAATCTACTTCCTCTGGTTCCTATTGTCACGTATGTATCAATCTACTTCCTCTGGTTCCTATTGTAGGGCATCTTCTAGAATTTTTTAATTCTTAATCTATATAAGGCACTTGATGAAATATTAATTATGATTTTTCAACATTATTTATATTTAAATTTATTAACTAAGGGAAATAATGTGATGCAAATTTTAAAAACTTTTATTTAAATAAGGGTTAAATTCAAATTTGTTCTATTTTTAAATAAAGTTAATAACTTAACCACCTCTTTTTAATTCTAATAAGATAATTAGATGTGTTTTATAATAGAAATCAGATTAAAAAAAGAGAGTATGTGGTGCCCATCATTTTTGGACTTAATGACAGCTTCAACATTGTTCCACGTTTCGTGTCCTCTGTCAAGTGGCTTCTTGAAAGTATGATTAATTATACGGCCCAAATTAATTATACATTACAAGGAACGTATAACTCAGAGCTGAATTAATATATATTTAATATTCCTATGAAGTCGATTGAATAGAAACAACACCAATTTATATGCAGAACAGGATCCTCTGCTTCTGGTTTTGCTGTATTTCAACAAACTTAAACAGCGTAGATCGAATTTAAATGATTTAGATATGTAAACTGAAAGACAGTAATACGAAGAAAGAAACACGCCCGCTGGCCACAAGCCATGGTGTCCATGAAACATAAATATGCTGCTAAACAGATCAACAATAACAACAACGAAAATCAAAGAGATCAATAAACGGAGTATAATGTGATAAAGCCAAAAATATAAAGAACAGAGTTGGACACTGTAACAGAGGACAACAATATACTACTGGGCTTAGCAACTTACACAATCAAGCATCTCCACAAGCTCCTAAGAACTGAAAATGCCTAGCCCCAAAACTCCATCTCCAAGCCTCCGATTCACTTTTCAAAAGTCACGGACATTGCTCACTAGAAGATGAAGAACAGATAGTGATGAATAACCTTTTATTATCATAGGCTTGTGATGAAGTTACAATTGAGTAATTAATGACTAACAAGTTACCCAAATTTGTTCGGAATAAGAACAAAAAATACAACTACATAGAAAATACAAAGCCGCACCTTTCAAGAAGAAGAATTGAAGAACAGTAGAACACTCGATAATTAGATATTACAATACGATATCAAAGCTGAGCAAAATTACAAGCCGTAAAGCCCTAGTCTTGGCAATGGAAAGCCCATAATTTCATAAGACTTGTATGGTTGGAGGTAATAATCTGATAATTTTTCTTTTTAATAATGATATGATAATTTTATATTTTGCACTAACTGAAAAGGAGACCTCGTCCACTTCAATTTCTTTTGAAATAGTTTACATCAACTAAATGAGTTCTTATACCGTCAACTAATTAAATAAAAACTCATTGAACATTTTCTTTTTGAGCTAAGACTGAGAATGAAGGCAAGAAGGTTAAAGAGATTGACATGTTGTGAGCTTTAAAAATAAATGTTATTTGGTTAAAATTAATGGAAAGGTGCTAGATAGTTCATTTTTCATAATAAAAGCTACCAAATGCTACAAAAAAAATTTATGACTAAATTTTATTTGTTAAAGTGGAGTGCCATGTGTCATTTCAGTCAAAAAATTATGGGCCCCACATGAAAAGTTAATATTAGTTAAATGAAAATTAACATAGGTTGCTAGATGCTCCATTTTTTTAAAGTTAAGAATTTATTTTATATCACATTATAGTATAGACTACCTAATACTCTTGAAAAAATAATTAATGGCCAAATTTATATTTTTACCATTTTTTATATAAAAAAACTTTATAGTACCTAGCACTCTTGAAAAAAAAAAAGTTCAAGAGCAAACATTAGAATCAAAGGATATAATCAATGAGGGATCATAGTCCTATCTATCACTGTTGTAAGGGTCCCATGCATATGTCATGTTAAAAGAAAACAATATAATTAATAGATCACTCACATGAGGGCCCCATGCTCTTCAAAAATAATTAAGAGAAAATATACCTTATTTATCAATAAGAGAAAATATACCTTATTTATCAATGCATTGTGCCTATCGCTTCTCAAAAACAGTGTGGGAGAAAAATAAACTTTAACCCCTAAATTTAAAATAGTTTAAATTTTTTGAAGAAACTTTAATATGTATGTGTGGATTTATATATATATATATATAAACCATCATGAAAAACTTTGGAAAGAAAACAAAAATGCATAGAGACAAGAAAAAGGTTGTTGTTGCTGCCTTATTATGGTAAACCTATTATGATCTGTACATTTTAATTTATATTAAAAAATAACAAAAATAAACTACATTCTCACATACTTAAGTATTCTACCAAATAAATTTATGGTCATGATCACTCCATTCTTTTCCATTACTATTGATTACAATCCTTTCCATTACCTATCATTACAATCCTTTTCATTACCTCATTTTCATGAACCAAACGGGACCAAAGTTCTCCCTTCATGATGTTATTTTGAAGGTGCCGATAACTGTTTCTGCAAGTTTGCATTACGCGCGACTCTGGACTTGTTTCAATGGGCGTTTTTTTTTTTTTCATTCCTTGTCTGCTGGGTTGTTTATGTTTATTATGTGCTGGCCCAATTTCTTAATTGGGCTTTTATGTTGCACTGACCTTTTTATTTAAAAAAGTTGGACTTTGCCAAAAACAAACAAACAAAACCAAAAGATAGATGGATTCATGTTATGCAAGTTCTTATGGTGCCTTAAGCTTTTATTTTTTAATTATAGTTGTTTATCTTCTATATTTATTTGGTTTATAGAAGAATTTAGATTATTGTTCAATTATATTGTTCTACTTTTTGAAGTGTTATTATTAACGAAATTTTTTGTCTTGACTCAAGACAGTTAGTGAGGAGTGTGGCATAATTTCATATCCCTGCTTTTACTGTGAATTTTGAGAATAATTATTTACTGCCACTGCACAAGTATTAAAACACGATAACGGTATAATCTCCAAAATTAGAGAGGCGTTAATATTGCATCGTTCTCATTGGAATTAACTACGCATACCTGCACGTGCTCGGTAATATATTATGAGGTCAAAAAATAATTTGACCCTTAAATTATAGAATAAAATTATTTAAAACTTTAAATTCTTTTTTGATATAATATCCCCCTTTAATTTTTAACTGTCACCTTACTGTTAACAAAAATTAATTTTGACCATTATTTAATTAAAAAATTATAAAAAATGACTTCAAACTTATAAAAAATGACTAAAATTTACAGACAATGATCCAAAATTACAGAAAAAAATTAAAAAAATTTCACAATTTTTTTTCAGTTATTTCTGTCTTCTTTGGTCAAGTAATTGTCAAAATTAATATTTGTTAATGATAAGGATAGTATTATACCATCTTCAAAAGTTAAAAGGAAAACTTCACACAAAAAATGAACAATTCAAGAAAAATGATGCTTTTCATGCTCATTTAGCATGACTTCAGTCAAATCATCATCTCTCAAATATTATCATTAAAATTAAGAACTTGGTCATAAGAAATTCGATTGTTACTTCTAACCATATTTTTTGTGAAGCGAACAGATGAGCACATTGACTAGCTTGCTATTCATCTCATGGCTATCTTGTCACTGCGTTTCTAAAACCACCCTCAAGGGTGTAGAAGCTTTATGTATTCTGATATTAACTAATTATTCTCCTGCACAGTTTCCGTGGCATTCTATTAAAAACATACAAAAGAAATGATGGCCTTTTCTTGTAAGGTAGCTGTGTTTGTTCTATATAAAAGAAAACCAGAAGAAGCTATGATATTTTATTGAACTTGAATGCATCTAATACAATATAATGTCTTGCATCATTCTCCCCTATCCTATGGCTGTGAAACTCGTATAATTTGATATTCAACGGGAAAAATTTATGTTGTAAATTTACCTGTATATCCTTCAAAGAATCTAATTTGTTCGGTGTATGTTTATATCATGTTCTCAAATTTATCAAGTTTCTTTACTCTTTGCATAGACCTGAACAATAGTGTCATAAAAACACCTGCATAACAACCAAGTCATGCTGATCAACCACGTGAAGAAAAAATTGGAAACACAAACAAGATTACATCAAGATATGAGTCATTTGGATTTCTTTAGAGATTAAGAACTCATTTGGTTGCAGGAGAAGATAAGAATGAAATGGATTAAAAATAATAGAAACAAAATAAATTAAATCCTCATGATAAGTTCGATAAAACCTATAATACCACATACCACAAACATAGGAATCACCACACACTTCACAAATCTTATGAATGATTCCTAATTTCATAAAACAAATTACCTTTCGCTTCTATGAACATGGCTAATTTATTTTTTCTCCACAATCATTCCAATTTTATCTTTATTTTTTTTAATTCATTTCATTCCTTCCTAGTAATCAAAAATGGGCTCTTTAAGAGAGGCAATCACAAAGCGTATGAGACTCCTGCAAATTGGGATTCAAATTCTCTGCACCAACACAACAAAATCTAACGACCAGAAATTGACTTGTTCATTCAATAGCCATGGCAACAGCGAATGTAAACCATTGGATCTCTCAAACCAATGCTGGCATTGGCCATTGGACATCCACGGATTTGGATCATCTCATCATCCTTTCTCTCCTTTTCTTCTCCTCGTCTCATAGTCACCCATGGATTAAAAATTCAACAGTTGAGATTTAGTCAAATTCATATATTAATCATAGTCTACAGTTAGTTTACATTAGTGAACTGCTCAAATCAGATTTTAACAATTTATATCTATTCATTTATTTTTTTTATTATAATATTTTTTAAAATATTAAATCTTAACCATTCAATTTTTAATTCAAGGGTGAGAATGAGATGAGAAGAAAATGAGAGAGAGGATGATGAGAGAACTCGAAAATTTACAACACCCCAAATGTGCAGAATAACCCACTTAAAAAGATGGACCTCACAAATTTCTCTGGGGATTTGGTGTTGAGTCTCAATTGAGGGATATTAATATAATGTGCTGAGGAAAGTTACAATCTTTTTTAAAGAAAATTAATGATTAAAGACCCCTGTTTATTTTTATTTAAAAAAAAAATGTAACCCTTCTCTTAACACCATTAGATCATAGTCTAATGGTTAAGATTCCTCAATTGAGGCTCAATTGGGAGTGCCAAACCCATTTCTATGGACCCCACACCCATCTCATATTAATGTTGTAAATTTTTCAGGGCAAAAAGAATTGAGAGGATAAACATCTTAATCGAAGCGTTTTGATGCAGAAGTTACCTGCACCAACAAATGATCCATTTGCAATGGCGATATTTCCTTGGCTGCTCAAGGTGACACCAAGATTTAGCAAGGTTCCTCCCAACACTGTATACATAGTTGCCATTTGCAATACTGTTGCTTTTCGAGCAGCTCTTTCAGACTGGAAAATCAAGTCACAAGTTTAAGATGACAATTTGTAAGCAAAATAAAGGCATCTTACTATATACTAATGTAGCCAACAGCATCGTGCAATTCATGTAGCCAACCCTACCTAATGGAATAAGGTTTGTTATTACTAGATATTAATTCCCTCAGAAAATGTTTACATTCCATGCCTTTTGAGATATAAGGAAACACCCACACAAACCAGACCGACATAACTAGTTTAGCTATTAAACCTTCCACCAAACTGGTCTGGTTCTACAATTAAACTATGTTGCAGCTTATCATTTCCCTTTTAATATATACTCAGGCCTTGACCTTGTTCCACCAGCTAAACAAATAAAACGTTGATCTGGCACAATTGAATCATGATGAACAGGTTCATTCCTTTAAATAATTCATTTTATTTAGTTCATGACTACTTTTCCATAACTTCATATTTATGTTTTGATTCATCACAATAAAGTATGTTGTGCTAAATTTGTTTTATAATTATACTTGACCTCCTTAGTTCACTGTTCAGTAACCAGTCTTTTTGAATAAAATTTAAAAGAAAAAAAATGTTTACCTCAAGCACCCGGACCCGGAGTTTAAGATCCCCATCCTCAAGTTGCTTCACAAACTCCTCTATTCTTTGTACTCTGTATGGCATTGACATGGTGGAGGATCTAGCCTAATATAGTTCCAAGGAACAAAATGGCATAAGTTGATTGATTATAGCATCATTGAATAATTTCTTTTAAGAATTTTCTTGCATCAAAGAACATCATCTGAACCAAATGGGGAAAAAAAAATACAAGTTCTAGGTAATGTTTCATACATCATCTGCTTGTTTCCTTATTTGCTCCACTAGTCGTGGCCCCGTCTGCTGCTTTTGCCTTATATCTAAAAGTTCCTGTACAAATTAAAAGGCATAATCAATATCAAATGCAATATAGTAAGCTAAGCCACACCATTTGTAACTAGTCATCAGTGTAGCTTAGTCCTTGGATTCCTTGGACTCTATGTTATGCATGGAAGCCCACTTAGAGTTGTAACCAAGCTATTGAAAACCAAACTAGTTATTGAGCTAGTTAAGACACTAATTCAAGGGTTGATGATCAGAACTATAGTTGAACTATAATCAAACTGGTCATAAACAAAGCACTGTATTAAACCGGTTAAGGCACTAGTTTAACGGTTTACCGGTTCAACCAAGTAAGTTGACCTAAATTTCCATACTATGGTTATAACAAATGGCACTGGCTAAACAACAATTAACAAATTATGAGAAAACAAACATGCTATAGACAATATGAACCTGAGCATAAGGTGCAGCAATCTTCACAAAGGAGAAATCTGGATTGAGAATGTAACCTATGCCTGTTAAAAAAAGAACAAGCAGTTGAAAAAGCGAGGAAGGGGGAAGAAAAGACAGTATGTTAAATCATAATCTTTAGTTCATTCTTTTGTTATTGATCTACTGACTAGATAAAATTTTCAGAAGCAAAAGGCAGAGGAACACCTTCAAGTGTTGAGAAGGCCCTGATAACAAAGGTGAAGGTAGATGGAAATCGGAAAGGTTGATCTTGAGCTATGGCAAATAAATCCTGCCATGAAAAGCCACAAGTTTACAAGCTGTCAGGTGTAGATCGTGGGGAAAATGCAAATAGCCCCTTTGAATTTTGAGCAAATACGCTCATTAACTTGAAAAATAGGAAAATAAACCCCATAATGGCATTGGCAAACTTATGTTTTGATGACCCAGATATAGAAGTTATTTGCTTCATAGATGATGGGCAGGGAATAGAAAATATATGATACTGTTCTTATTAATAAGCACTAGGCAGTAGGCAAGTAGACAATGATAATAGTAAAAGTATGGCTAGCTTTTGTTTGGTATTCAATACTATACGAATTTCTAGTTTGGAGCGTGTTTAATAGATGTTTTATGAACACACACACACACACACACACACACACGTATCCTAAAAAATATCATATATTATATTTTTCAAAAATGGAAGTATCAACATCTCGGAACGTATCCATTTATCCTAGTTGTGCATCATAGCATGTCACTGTTCTAATGTAGCATTGTCATCAGCTAAGAAATATGAAATCTAAACAAAGCATCAAAATCCTAAAAGGCATTTGAGTGTGGCATTTACTGGTTTTAATAATCGCAGGAGTAGTTTGCAAGTAGCTCAAAGTTGAAGGAGGCCATTTGCATAATTTTTGAAATTATTATAGTCAAGTATGGCCTATGGCAATAATTATCAATCTTAACATGATCTTCATCAGCGAAGAAACAAAAACCCAAAGTAATGTTGAAAAAAACTAAAATTCATTGATCCATCATTACTAAAATATTCACATACTTCTCCAATCGCAGACAAAGTTTGTTGCTGATCTGGTGTCTGGCTTAGCAAATTGTCCAAGAAAAACTGTACAGATCTCTTCACCTGGAAATCACATTAGTCATTTGAAACTCTAAGACATGGATTATAAGTAAACGCACTGAACTAAGAAAAACCTTACAGATCACCTTACCTAGAAGTCAAGTAAAGGAATTTATATCTCTAACATATGGATTATAAATAAAAGCAATGAAACGGAAATCTTGTCAAGCCATGGAAGTTAATTTACTTACTGATGATAAGTCTCCAGTTGGTTTAAGTGCACCAAGATCTATCAGGCATTGCATAACCTGCACCATTGCTGCATGTTAGTTCAAACATATATTTATGCATAGAAATATTTACTTCTGTCTTTACTAAATGCATAAGCTAGCCATGGTTTTGTAAAAATATATCCAAACATCCTATTATCTGTCAAAATCAATTATGAACTCAAAATCATGATTTTTAAAAAAATATATTCAAGCACTCCTCAGATCTATTAAGAAACATAAATTTAATTTTGATGACAAACATGTGACAAATAACCCATCGAAAAATTTCAATTCCAACATTGCAGGATATTAAGCTATTTAATTTTGGACCAACCTAAGAATCATTTCATAAGACGAAGGAAGAAAATTTATCCCAAATAGGATATCAAGTATCATATGATAGTAGCTTGCTAGAATGAGATAATACATAAAATTTTAAGTGATCCATGAAAGATAGCAGAAAGCTAGACCTTTTTAGCATCCTTCTCATAAACAGAATAAAAAAGTTCAAGCAGCCTCTCTCGGGTGAATGATTTGATCTCCCCCATCATGCCAAAGTCATAATAAATAAGTGTTTCATCCACATCAACTGCAAGATTCCCAGGATGAGGATCAGCATGGAAGAATCCTGTTTTCAGTATCTGCACGACAAGCAAAATTTGACATATATTGTCACTTATCCTTGCTCCAATTAACAAGATACCACATGGTTAAATGATAGGGGAAATGAAAGGACAATACCCTTAAAAATTCTTTATTATTCACAGCAATAGAAAAGTAATTATATTCAAATCAAGTACCTGAATAAGGTATGCTTCAATAGCATGTGATGAGATCCTCAATCGATCATAGCCCCTAGAAGTTAGCGTCTCCACCTGATTTATTTTGACACCTAACACAAGTAAAATCCAGGCAACATGGGATAAGAAATTAAGTTCAATGAAATAATGACATGCAAGTTTTCACCATGAAAAATATTGTTAGGTTCCATTGATAAGTAAAAAAGGAAACAAGACATGTGAATGAGGCAAGATGAAAACCTGGTACATACTCCAAGGTCAACACTTTTGTAGCAGTATAATCCCAATAAACCAACTGCAAAGAAGCAAATAAAGAAGCACATAAGGTTAAGAGTTAATAATTCAATTCTTGATATTAGTAGCTTTTGCATCATAAATTAACATGTTTGACATATTCCATAAGCAAGGGAAATGGAAGGGGGCCAAATGCTTTGAGGAAACTGAAACTATAGGAGTGTACAATAGCTTTTAGTGTTCCAGAAAGAAACATACAGGTACGCGAACCCACTTTATGTTTCGAAAATCTCGGCGGAACCTATCAGCATTCTTTCCTTCATTTATGTAATCAATTTCTTGATACAAAATCCTATAACATAACATAAGCAATACAATTTAGTATTAGAGGGAAAAAGAACAAGAAATCCATTACCAGAGGGAGATCAAGCATTATGCACAACAACAACATAACTAACTAGTGGGAATGGGTAAACCAGTCCGTATAAATTAAGACTAAGTATATGTTTGGACTGAGCAGAATGGTGGCCAAGGGAAAAGGAATTTCTATCATGTTTATTTGAAGCTTATATTTAAATAAATGCTTATTTCCTTCCCTTCACATCTATTGTATCCAAACCAAACATATTTTAATGAACAGAATATCAAATTTGACCCCAAAAAAAAAATTATATCAAATAAAATGTTTAAATTAGTATTTCTCATCCTCTCCTTTTCCCTCCATTCTCTTCAATTCAACATATCTTAAATGCCACAATGCATATGGTGAATTGCTACAAAAAAATTTCCTTTCTTCCCAAGCACACCAGAAGACACATCTACTTAAACTGCCCATCTAGACAACCACGAGAACTTAGTAGGTGAATGACCAACAACAACAACAAGCCTTTATCCCACTAGGTGGGGTCGGCTACATGGATTGCAAGACGCCATTGTGCTTTATCATTTATCAAGTTTTTAGGAATATTATTAATTAAGAGATCGCGTTTAATAACTTCCAAGAGTGTTCTTAGTAGGTGAATGACCACATCAGAAAATCTCAATAATGATGAATTTTGATGATTATCACTTACGTTGAACATTCTTCATATATTCCAATCCAATCCCTACTTGGACCACCAAAAGTTTCACTTCTCTGAAAATACTCTGCAATCAGCTTTAAGTTTCCTGGATGTAAGTATCAGGTTTATTAGTGTAACAAGTGAGACTGATTTACAATATTAACGATGCCAAAAGTTGTAATGAGCAACAGCAACATCAACCCATTCCAACAAAATGTCAGCAATGGTTACTGGTACAAATAAAGTAAGCATAACTTACGCAAGTCAATGTCAAAAAGCCTCTTCAGACCAGGCCTTTGGACTTTAATAACTACTTTTTCTCCATTATGCAGAATAGCACGATGAACCTACAGATATGGCCAACCAAAATTCATAGCACATAAAATAATAAGCTCAAGGATTCTCTGTACATAAAAGCTGCAGTGACATTATTCAGCAAATAACACTACATGAATACTGCAGATTTGTTGAGCAAGAATAGAAGTTAGAAAAGATAAACTAAACCATCAAAGATTTTTATATTGCTCCGAATCTACTGAGAAAGATCCTTTAGCTACTTTGATGTTATGATCTCACTTTCTATAAAATCATCATCAGAAAACATCAAAACATACCATAACCAACAAACTTTTAAAAAAGTTAATGCACAAAGGAATGTAGACACTCAACACCATGACTCAAATACCTGACCAAGACTAGCGGCAGCAATTGGACGATCTTCAAACTCCTTAAACAACACGTTGATGGGTGCCCCTAGTTCACTCTCTATGAATCCTATTGCTTTCTTTGGTGAGAAGGCAGGGACTTTATCCTGAAGAATGTTTTATTGAGATATACGTTGATTAATGATCAAATCTCATGGTTGGCCAAAATCTCATGCACATATAGTAAATTAATTAGGCTAAGGGATTTTAATTTGAATAAGATATTTGTGTAATAAGGATAAAAAAATGAGAAGAAAGAAAAAGATGAGATAGTAAAAATGAATACCTGCAACTTTGCAAGCTCGTCCACAAATTCACGGGGAAATAGATCAGACCTTGTTGATGATAACTGTCCAAGTTTGATGAAAGTTGGACCTAGCTGTAATACACACTCTCGTAGCCATGAGGCAGTTTTCTGCCTTCTGGTTTTCTGAATGAAATGATAAAACACTTCAATAACTAAAACTGAAACTTGACATGATAAGACCCCAAAATAAAACCTAGCTTCTAGCTGCAGAAAACTATGTTTAAGGGGCTTTTAATAGATAATGATTTAAAAGCAACATGTAACATTGAATTTTTTTTAAGAACCTACCTGCTTTTCTTCTGTGAAGCCTCCTACATATGCCCATTTAGCATTGTCCAACAGAACACGAATGCGTAAAGAAAGAACAAATGACCAAACATCTATAGATCTTTGTATAGAATTGTAATTTTCATTGGCCCAACTGAAGCCTTCATCTGAAGGCAAAACTTTTAGCTCCTCCAACGGTTGAAGTTCTTGCGAGTTTCCAGACTTCACTTTTTTTGTCAATGATGTGGCAAGATCTTTTCTTATTATAGTTGCCCCATTAACTACTTGCTTTGAACCATTTACAATCTTGATTTTATTTGCTGACGTTGTCCTTCTTTTCACTAGTTCATTCGCTGGTACCATTTTAATAGGTCTACCATTGGTACCGTACTTTGATGATCCCACCTCAGTCTGTTGCATCTCCACTAGAAACATTGGGAATCTGTGTTTCCTAGCCAAAATAAGGCTTAACTTTTTAGACTTGAAAAATCTATCAATAGAAATTGAGCCAGAGAATCCAAGATTGGTTGGTGTTCTTCCTTGGCTTGTCACCCCTACATGGTGGCAATAGCAACCTTGTGAAGCCATGATCACTGCCATCTATGATTAAGGTCCCTGCAAAACAAGAAACAAACAATGAGAAATATCAAATTAATTATAAACTCCACAAAAAAAAGGAGGGAACATAATTTAGCGGTTTCGCTGCAGGACAAGTGAATAAGGATAAAAGAAAAATATGTAAATCATTGTTAAAAGTCTTCAAGCGGTAAGCAAGTAAGAAAAAAATTAATTCAATTAAGCGATACATTCTTTGGGACGCCATATTATACTCTCAGCAAAGTTTAACAGAACAAAAACAACACGAAGTTCATCATCATACACGGTTGTGAAGATGAGGGATATTCATCACTGTAAACTAACATAATTTTTCCCCAACAATCAAACTGAAACAATCAAGAGCGAAACTAGACTTAAGAAACAACATAGAGGGGCCTGTCCAAAAATTCTAAATAAGAAATCCTAAAATCTAACACTTAAATACCTGAATCCTTTTGGTTCTACAGTAGTAACAGAATCAGCTAACTGCCCAAATTTAACAACAGAAATGGAAGAGGGTTCAGCTACTTGACGCATGGCGTCTTGCTGCTATTTCATTTTTCCTACAACCCAAAAAATAAAAAAATAAAAACAAGGAAACGCCGAGAGATTCTTCAGAATTTTTAATCGAAATGGTAATACTTACAGAATAAGATTACTAAGAACCGCACTTTCCAGTTTCTTGAACCTTGTGAGTAAAGTGAAAGACGACTAGGGATAGAGAAGACACCCACAGCCCAAATGGCCGAACGAGGATTTTCTTGCTTCAAAGTTTCAAATAGCTGGCCACTGATTCAAGCATGGACGTGGCTCCTCAAGATGATTTTTGAATCTCTGCAGTAACGACAAAACGGAAATGGGATCTTCATCTACCGCCAATCAGTTGGCTTGGTGCGTGCAAGACTCTTCTATTATTTAAAAATCGTTTCAGTTCCTAATCTAATATATATTTAAAAAAAAAAATTCGTTTCGGTCGGGTACCTCTTGATTTGCAAAACACTGTTCACTACGCGCATGCCAAACCGAACAAATGAAGCCAACGAACATTCATTTACCGGGAACCCACTTTTCTTTTTATTAAATAAAAATAAAACAATCTACTGATCTACAAGGAAAAACCAATCACATAAAGTCTGTTAATACTAGTACAAAAATTTATAATAAGATGTACACACTCAGAGCTAGGCAAGACCGCATTTGGACTAAATTTAGGGCCTAGCCTAGCCTGATTTTCAGCTAAAATTAGCCTATTGGAGTTATCAAGTTGGTTGAACATCCCCTACATGACAACATAGTTGTTCATTTATGCACAAAATCATAATTTTTTGACTAAAGTATATATTTAATCTTTTAATTTTATATAAGTTTTTAGTTTGGTCCTTTAAGTTTGGTTTGGATGAAGAAAAAAGTAATAAGAAAATAGTGAGAGAAAACTACAATGAGAAATTTCCAAAATAAATAAATAAATAAATTTCTTTATTATTTTAGGAGTTTTCTCTCTTAATTTTCTTTCTTCTCTTTTTTTTTCTCTCCATCCAAATAAATAGTTAATTTTATAAAGTATCTTTGTACTACTTTAACCATAACATCAATAGTCTCAAATGATTTTTTCTACTAATCATTGTTATTTTAAAACTTAATAGGTCAATATTTAAAAAATATTTTATCAATATTTAAAAGTTAAATGTGGAAATTTTTTGTTAATGAAACTAACAGTGTCAGAATTAAAATACTAAAATGACAATTTATAAAATTAAGAGACTAAAATGAAACTTTTTATAAAATTAAAGGAGTAAAGGTGCACTTTAGCCTCTAGTTTTTTTTTTATTTGGCCAAAAAAAAGTAGGGTTATAGAGCATATTTGCTCAGGAATATATGGTGTCAAAAACTTTTGTACGTTACAATTTTCTCCTTTAACATTTAAAATAGTACATTGAATACCCTAATATTAAACAAGTTAACTTTAATGGTTAGTTGATTTAAAAATTTTTGAAAATGACCTCAAAATTTATAGCAAATGACCTATAAAATTACACAAAAGTATCTTACAAGAAAATAAATGTCAATTAAGTCTTTTAAATTACATTTAAATAACAAGATACAAATGTTATTGTTTAACCACATAAAAGGCCAAAATATAATTTTGACTGACCATTATTTTAGGAACTTAATATCACATCCCAAATTTTAAATTCAAAAATTTATGAATTAACCAAGGGTAAATTAGTGAATTAGTGAATAAATTAAGTTATTTGGGTTTTTGAATTACTACTGGACCTTTTAGATTGTTTGCACAGTTTGAAATTGGGCAAGGATGGTTACTAGGAAAACTGGGCCTAAGTGGAGCATTAAGGGCATTCTATATCATTTGCCATGGTGGACTATTTGAAAATTTAATAAATTAGATGTGTTCAATCACAAAAAACAAAAGAGGAATGAGGAAGAGAGAATTGGGAAGACTCAAGGGAGAAGAGTCTTCTCTGCTAGGGCTTTAGAATTTGGTCACTTGAGAGTTAGTTTGAACCTCCGATCTTTCAGATAAACTTTGTATCTCTTTCCTCTTCTTTTTTATTGGATTTCTCTTGGTTTTGTGAAGTGGGAGGTGATGATTTTGTAACATAAGGGTTTGGGTTCAACTCAAAGAAAGACTCAATTGGAGTTATTAGGAGTTGATTAAGTTTTATACCTAGGATTAGTGGTTTTATGGAGTTTAAATGTCGGGAACTTAGGGTTGGTTGAACCCTAGCTTTAAATGGGGATTTTGGAAGTGAATTTAACCCTTAATAGAAGTTAAATAAAGTTAATGAAAGATGATTAGGACTTTGATTTGCTTACTAATAGAACTTAAAATTTTGGTTAACTTATTTAAGCTATGAAGTACCTATGTTAAGTAAAGAATTGACATATAGTGATAAATCTTGTAAATTTTTGTTATCAAGTGCTCTTTGAGCAATTGGAAGCTAGTAAAGGGTATTAATTTTCATGGGTAATCATTTTAGCGATAAAAGAGTTGAAATAACCAAATAATCTATTATCTTTACTTGCATGTTAGATTATTTATAAGCTTTTGTGAAATAAATGTTATTTTATGAGCATACATGTTTGTGTGTGTGTAAGTGTTTTATTTTAGAAACATGTGAAACATGCGAAGAATAATTTTCAAAAGATTAAAAGTATATTTATAAATTTATGAAATGGATAAGTTGATCATGACGGTCTAGTTGTGTGGTGAGCATACGTAAGTTAAAGAATATGCATGAGTTGTATTATTGTATTGCATGGCATGATCAGTGAGAGGATGGGAGTTCACCCTTAAAGAAGTTAGGTTAAAAATTCATACAATACCACTAACACCATAAATGGCCCTGGTGTTCAATTATTATTTTGGAAGCTCTATTATCACTCGAAAGGGTGTGGCCCATAGCATTATGGTACTCTGAGTATCTATAAATGGGGAATATGTAGTCCAAAAGTAGTAATAGCTCCATTGGCCAAGCAACCTTCCATATTAGGTGAGCTCACGTTAGTCTAGTTATATAGTCTTGGTCTAGTATATTGTTAGCTAATGGATTTAATTGGAAGTCGTTGCAAAGGTAAAGATGGAAATTTATGATTATGCATGATATAGTTTGACAATTATACTTTATGTGCCATGATCACATGTTTTACTATTATCCCACTTTGCATGCTTGTTTACAGCTTGACTTGTTTATAAATAGTTTAGATTATTTGATTACTAGAACTTTATCTCATCTTATAGTTACAATTTTATAAGTGATAACACTAATAGGAGTAAGGGAAAGGATCTAGGCAAGGGGTAGTGCACTACTACTTTTGTATAGCCTTGTTGTTTTGTTTAATGTGTAAATGAATGTATATGTAATTATATTGTGAACTAGGATTGTATGTAGTTTTTAGATATGCTTGCATGATATGGATGGCTGTTGTGTGTTGTATTTTGGATTGAAATATGTGTTTTGGTTTGAAATATGTGTTTTGAGATGTATCAGTGGTGTGGAGCCAAAATACTAGTATAAGTATATATTAAATAATATGTAACTTGGATATGCTATGAAATAGCCACTTAGTAGTCAATGTAGGGTAATTAAAACATGTGTCCCCATTTTGATTCAAAGTGGGGTTTGATTGGCCAAATCTTGAATGAATTGTGTTATTCTTTGTATAAATTATTAGTCAAGTGCTTTCTCAATCCATTTGACATGGTCCAAGCTTTAATTAAGACTAATGACAATTGGTTTAGTTTTAGGACACTTAATTGCGCTTTTTCTTTTTAAAAAGTAACCTTTTTGCATCTAAGTATCTAACTTTTAAACAAGGTATCATTTTGAAATGTAAGTAGCATCATTAGTTAAATAAATGAATAATCTTTGTGTGAGTACTTGAATCATCCTAATCGGATGTTCGACAAAGAAATGATGAACATTGAAAGTTTATCTCGACATGCAATCATGATAGTAAAATGCTGTCATGAACTACATAATGCTCTATGACACATGTTGTCCACATAGCAATGCGTGACACATTAGCTATAGCATGGACCAATATTGAAAGAATGACCTTTTTGCTATTGTGTCTTTGTATTATCTTTTGTTGAGTTATGCCATGCTTCCAAATGAATTTCAACTCTAATTTAAATATATTGTTTAAGCTCAAACACCTTTTATAAAAAGGTTATTAATGAGATCTTAGTTTTGAATTTTTTCAATTATGAATTTGTTTAACCTTTTTTATCATGGTAATCTACAGGAGATTAATTAATTTGTAATTATTGTGATAGGTTGTTTGGAATGTTAATTGTTTGGTAATGTGAGATTGAACATTACACTTAATTGATATTAATTTTTCAATAGGATACTTATTTGCAATTTATGATTCCTTTTTTTTTTTGTAATCTTTTTAGTTGACTAATATAATATCCTAAAATTTCATATTAACTTTTCATAAATATATATTTTGTTTACATGAGTCACAGTTATTAAATACTTACCGTGGTAAAAAAAGTTTACTATGGTAACAAATAAATAAAACCATTTTCATACAATTTTCCATGGTAGAAAAAGATTTCCTTACAATAGAAACATTTTACAATTAAAATATCTTGGTAAAACAGGATCTACTATGATAAAAAAATTAAACATAGTAAAAAATTTCTACTATGAAAATATAAGAAATGCCTATATTAAAGTGTACCTAATATGATCCCTAAAAAAAACAATTATTTAAAACTCAACACTTCCTTGAAAATTTTAGATACTTCTAAAACATGGATTTCTCAGGCAAATTATTTCTCAAACAACATATTACCCTCAAAACATTTATCATTTAAGTGACTCAAGTGTACACCCTTGACATGAATACAAAACTTAGTTGGTTAACCAACACTCGCTATAAAAATAGGTTTGGTTTGGGCCTGAACAATGCTTTCCTCCATACATGGTTACAATTCAACCAAAGTCCTTAATGGTGTACACTTGATCACAACACCACAACAATAGATATCACATTCTAATATAAACCTCAAATCTCATGTATAAATATTCAATTTAATCAACTAAAGCCATCAGAGCCAAAAAGAAGTATCATGGCTAGTAAATAAAATATTCTTTCAAGATATAAAGTCTAAACTATAGCCATGAGAGGTAGATAAAAGTCTCATAACCAACACGTGAAATATTTAATCAAAATATAATGTATTTAATATCGCCATGAGGGGCAAACATGAATCTCAGGCAACTAATGAGGAGTTAATCAAAATAATGAGTCTACATGCTCAAAATGTAATCAAAATATATTCTACTTTGGCACATTTATATAAAACTCAACAAAATAGGCCAACCAAGCCCATGTGTGCCAATACACACCAAGCTAC